CTCACATAAATCTGAATGTGTCTTTGATAATGTGAATCACACCATGCCTTATGATATGATAAACTCTCTATTTGCTGCACATGCAACCAGCATAATATTTTATCGTTAACAGTACCAACAATATTTTTACAAATCAAACTAATTTTCACCTTTTGAATGGGCAGGCGACAGAGATGAAGTGTGGTGGAATGGTATTGGGCTGCACCTTCGACCATCGCATATCAGATGCATACTCCTTCAACATGTTCCTTGTCAGCTGGTCGGAGATCTCTTCCGGCAAACAAATCTCAACCATCCCCTCCTTCCGCCGCTCGCTTCTCAGCCCTCGTCGTCCCGGACATTTCGATGCTTCATTCAACCGATTCTACATCCCCTCTTCTCAGCTTCCACCGCTCACAAAATCTTCAGAAAGCATTAATCGCATTTACTACATCACCGCGGCAAACATCGATCGAATACAAGAAATGGTAACCGATGGGGGGCCGCGGAGGACGAAGCTGGAGGCATTCACGGCTTATTTGTGGAAATTAGCAGGGCGGCAAGCAGGTAAGCATGTAAGCCATATGGGATTGGTGGTTGATGGGCGTAAACGATTAGGTTTGGCAATGGATGCTTATTTCGGGAATGTGTTGTCGATTCCTTATGCGTCGATGGAGGTGGGGGAGATGGAGGTGAAGGAGATCGGCGAAGTGGTGCATGGTGTGGTTGAGGCGGCGGCGAGGGAAGAGCATTTCAGAGGATTGGTGGATTGGGTGGAGGTCAGGAGGCCGGAGGCGGCGGTGGCTAGGGTTTATGTGGAGGAAGGGATGTCGGTAGTGGTGTCGTCGGGAAGGGGGTTTCCGGTGGGGGAGTTGGAGTTTGGTTGGGGGAAGGCTTTGTTCGGATCGTACCATTTTCCATGGAAGGGGAATGCAGGGTATGTGATGCCGATGATGAGTGGGAGGGGAGATGGGGATTGGGTGGTTTATGCACATCTGTGCAGAGAGATTGTGGAAATTATAGAAGACAACTCAGATGGGTTTTTTGAGCCGCTTACTGTTGACTATTTGGGGATTAAAGGAAATGTTAACAGATTGGGGGAGAAGATTATTGGGTTTATGTTAAATTGAGATATTATGTTTCTGTCCGGTGGTTTTATGTCAGATGTAAGTTGCAACTTGTGTTATCTATCAGTCTCATGAAGCTTATAACTTTGATGTGTTTGTTTCTTTTTGGTTTGGGCTTTCAAGTGTTGAATGTGTTTGAAATGTAATTTTTAAAACTTTTTTTTTT